TAAATTAAGGGGCTTGGATAGTACAGGAGTCCTGGTGTGGGGCTGTGGATTAATGCACCAGACTGTGAAGCCCTTTGAACTGTAAGGTTGGTGGTTCAATCAATCTCACTCCTCAGAAACCCTATACAGGGTTGCTGTGAGTTGGAACCGACTCACCGGCACTTAACAACAACAACAGACAGGACAGCAAGGGGAAGTGACCTGACCTTCTGCGACCCCACCAGAGGCACCCCAGAAAAAGCCCCAAGCCTAACACTACTGTTCTTGGCTGTGTATCACCACAGGCCTACCTGGAGAGGTAAATGGTGCTATCCCCATTTTAAAGACGAGGATGCTAAGGCGCAGAGAGGTGAAGGGACTGCCAGGGTCACACCATTAGTGAGAAGTCTGTGAAGCCAGGTCTTCCTGGCTCTCCCGACGCTGGGAGACCCCAGACCAGACTGGAATGTAAGCGCCTCTCCATCTGACAGAACAGGGCTGGCCATCCAGGTGACCCAGGAGGAGAATGGAGTAAAGACCCCTCGGGGCGCATAAAGGGCTCGGGGGTGCTGCCGCAGGGGAGGACTCCTTGCCCCCCAGGACTGGGCAGAGAGGGAAGGGAGGAGTAGTAGAAGGAACAAAGGGAGGGGGAGGGGGCAGCGCAGGCGCTGCCGGGCAGGTGGGGGCCGCTTCCGCCCGCCGGGGATCCCAGACCCCCTCCCCGCACTGTCACCTTTTATGGTAAGGCTGCGGCGCGGGGCGGGGTGGGGGGGCGGAGGGAGCTAGGGGCGGGAAGGCGGTGGGGCGGGAGCGCCGCTGCTGCTCTCGCCGGCTCGGGCGTCGGAGCGGAGCCCCGGGCGCGGCGGCCCAGGTAAGTGGGTGGGGGGATCCTTCCTTCCTGCCCCGCTGCAGACAGGTGCCTGCACGGGCAGTCCTTGGCCAGGGCCCACCGCCCCCCTACCCCAGGAAGGACCCCAGCCTAATCGCTCCTGGAGGGGGACGTTAGGAGGGGGTGAGGGGAAGGTCCTGTCCTTCTGTCTCTGCCCCCGCAGTGGGGGAGGGGGCACAGGTCTGGAGGAAAGATTCAGGAGGGGAAGGTCATGTCTGTCCCTGGGGTGAACCGGTAACTGGGCGCTGGCGGGGAAGGGGCGTGCAAGGCGGAAGCTCCCGCACAAAGAGGCAACGTCCCGCATATGGATCGAATTAAAGCCCCCGGCCGGTGCCCCAAAGCAACCCGGCCAGCCGCCTTGCCCTGCCTTCTGCGGGAGGCCGCTGGGCTTTCCAGAGCTCCAGGGACTCCGGGCTCCCCTTCACAGAGGAGGTCAGGCGAGGGCAAGGAGGGGCCCAGCACCTCCACTCTCTTGGGCCTTGGACCCCCGTCGGGGACTGTGAAGCTGAGGTACCCGTGTATACCCCTGGGTGATCTAGGAGTCGGGCTACCCCCTAGGCCAGATCTGAGGACCCCGGGAAGAGGCTGGGGCAGCGCCCAAATTTCTGCTCCTAATAATGGTGGGAGCCAGGTCTCAGCTCTCGGACCTCTGGCCCAGCCCGGAGCCTCTGGAGGACTAAGTAACATCGTGAGTAACCTGCTGTCCTTCTCAGCGTCACACTTCTCAGCCACTCCGTGGGACAGACGGCATTGTTATCGTTTTAGGAAAAAACAGAACCAGAGAGGGTCAGCGACCTGCTCAGAGTCACCCAGCAGGAAAGAGGTGGGCGCAGTGTGCTCCTCTGCTTTCCTGGGGTGGAAGAAAGGGAGCAGAAACTCTTATACAGGGCTAGAGTCCCATCCCCACAACCCCAGCCAAGTTTAATTCCAGACCCAAACTGGCTTTTTTGTAGAGGTGTTAAAGAACAAAGCTTAAAGAGGGTTCTGAGTTGGATTTGGGAGGGGTGATGAGCAGAAGAACAGTAGTGGGAGGGGACTGTCAGGAGCCCCTGAAGGTCTCCTATCCCCAGCCCAGGCTGCAGTCTGAGCCAGGCTAGGTGGCTGGCTGGATCCAGCCTCCTTCCTTCCTCCTAACAGGAAATGACTTTCCTTCCCTTTGTTCCCACTTTCTCGGCTTACCCAACTGGATCTTAGATTCACCCTCAGGGAGAGGAAGGATGGGGGCGGAGGGTCCTCTGGCCTGGCTGGCTGGCAGATTTCCCCTTGGGGAACTTTCTCACACTCATCCCCTCGGGGTTACCAGGGGGGCAGTGGGCCAAAGGGAAGCTGAGGCTCCCATCCACTCCTGGGGCTTGACTGGGCTTTGAAAAACCCCACCCAGCTCAGGCTCTTCCCCTGGGGCCTGGAGACCCAGCAGTAATTTGCTGGAAGGGAGGGGGCAGGGACTACCCAGCTGTACACATCTGGCTCCAATGCTGGGACTTTCACCCTGAGAGTCTTCCAAGAAAACAGGCGACCCAAGTTCCCGGAGCAAGTGGGCTGGAGGGGTAGGGGTCAGAGTGCGGTGGGCATCCTGAAGGTCCAGCCCAGAACGTGTTAACCGCAGGAGTCCCACACTGGTTAGGATCATTCTGGGTGACAATAGACTGACAATTGGGGGGCCCAGGGAAGAAAAACCATGGCTTAGGAAGAAGTATGCCTCAGCAGTTAACCCCTAGACTTCTAGGTGGGATGGTGTTCCAGTCCAGAACCAGTTACTTAACTGCTTGGGGCTCACCTCACACTGGTCATCTGTAAAATGGGAGTATAGTGGACCTCCTTTATAACTGTGTTGGGGATTAGGGGAGTTTTGAGGCACGTAAAACACTCAGCACAGGCCTGACAAGCAGCAAGCACTCTAGAGGAAGTGCCACTGCTGTGGACTGCTAACCACAACTACAAGGTTGGTAGTTCAGACCCACCAGTCCCTCCTTGAAAACCCTATACAGGGTCGATATGAATTGGAACCAATTTGACAGTTCTTAAAACAACAGCTCGTCAAAACGAGCCCACAGGGGCCAGTGGACTTTCAGTTGTACAAACATAAGTGCTGTGGAGTCGGTTCCGACTCATAGAAATCTAGTATGGGTTTCTGAGGGATGGCTGGTGAATTTGAACCACTGCAGCACCTTTGAGAGAGGTCTATGACTGGTCACTGGACTCCAGGTCGATCCTTAGGGTCCTTTGTGGTCATGTTAGGGTGGCACAGCTGTAAAGAGGAAGGTAGAAAAAAGGCTTCTGTTTTATCCCGAGGCACAAACTGTGGGTGCCTTTGGAGGCTCCTGAACTGGAGTGACAACTTACCCAACCCTAAGGCTCAGTCTTGGCCCCAGGCTACTGTCTTTAGAAACCACGTGAGATGTAGCAAGTGGGTTCACCTTGACACAGGTTTTTGGCCTTGCACCCACATCTACGCTTTGATGCTTGCACTGGGATCTGGGTGCCAGAGACACCAGCTGAGGCCACACACTGCTGGGGGCGGGGGAGGGAACAGACACGTGGACTGTGAGCCAGGGTGTTCTGTGACAGGGCTGTCATCACCTTGTGGAAGCAGACAACTGTCCCCGGGGAGAGGGTCATGAGTTGGGAGGCTTAATGGAGGAGCTAATGAACTCCTGGGTCTCTGAAGATAAACTGAAATTCACCTTGAGGGATTGGGAGAAGAAAGACAGGTGGCTCAAAGGTAAGTAAGGGATAAAGATTGTCTCCAGGAAGAGTAAGTGGTTCAGGGTGGTGAAAAAGAGACTGAGGCCAGAGGAATTTGGACTTCATTCTGAAGGTAGTAGGGAGCCATGGAAGACTTTTGAGCAAAGACAAAAAAAAATGTATGCTCTAGAAAGAGCACTCCAAAGGCAGGTGAACCTGCATCAAATCCAACCCACTGCCACCGAGTCCATTTTGACGCATAGGGTTTCTGAAACTAAATCTTTATGGGAGCAGGCAACCTCATCTTTTCCCCGTGGAGCAGTTGGTGGATTTGAACAGTGCCACCAGGGTTTCTAGAAGCAGGTTTTTTTGTGTGCTGTCTCGATTCCAACACTTAGCCACCCTGTATAGGATTTCCAAGAGCTGCTTGAACTGCCCACCTTGCTGTTAATAGTCCTGAGCTTGTCCTACAGCACCACACCAGGGATCAGAAGCACATTAGGAGGAGGGATTGACAACCATGGAGGTGGGCCACTGTGCCTGAACCAGCATACTGGTGTGAAAGATGGGGGTGGAGCAAGAGATGCAGGCAATAGAATCATCAAGACCTGATTGGCCATGAGGTCTGAGGCCTGGGGGAAGGCAGCTGAGCTTCAGCCAAAAGCTTGGGCTCTGGAGTCAGACTTGGCCTGGATTCAAATCCCCGCCATCCCACTGTGTGACACTGGACAAGTGACTTCAACCTCTCTGTGTCTCCTTTGTAAAATGGAGATGATAGGAGTTCTCCCCAGCAGCATGGTGAGGGAGGACTCATGAGTGGAAAGTGCTGAGGGCCGTGCGGCACTGAGTATGTCTAGTCAACAGTAGACCCCATGAACCTGCCCCTTCCACCTCCTGGGGCCCAGCCCTGAAACTCTGCAGTTCACACTCTGTTTTCCTCCCCTAGCAGAGCTGGCCTGGACCTCTCAGGGACTTTGCCTCTCCCTGGAGACTCTTTGGATTCCAAGTGAGGGAGGTAACTCGATAACTCGGTGATAACTCGGTGAGGCCCAGAGCTGGGCCTGGGAGCCAGCTGTTTGGGGAGGGAGGACTGAGGGGCTGTGCCGTCTATGCACTGCTAGAAGAGGAAGATTAATCATTGATGAGGTGAGCAGGGCAGGGCTGCCCTTTGCTTCCCCAGGTGTGCAGGTTGGGGAGAGGCACTAAAAGCACTTTAGGGCCCCATCCCTCTGACCCAGTCACCTGATAGGTACCTGCTGTCCTCTTTGGCTGGGCTGGGGTGCTAACATGATGAGGTGGCTGCTTTTGTCTTGCTGGGAGGTCAAAGACTCCATGCCTCAGGGAAGAGAGGGTCCGAGTGTCCAGATAGAGTGAACCCCAGTGTCCAGTTCTGCTCAAGTCTGATCATGAATTTCATTCTGCCTCTAGCCCCCCAGGAGCCAAGGCAATGGCCTCAAAACCCGAGAAGAGGGTTGCCTCATCTGTCTTTATCACCCTGACACCCCCCCGCCGAGATGTGGCAGTAGCCGAGGAAGTGAGGCGCGTGTCCAGTGAGGCCCGACCTGGCTACCCCAGGGAATCCCCTGCCCCTGTGAAAGCACCTGGAGCTGGTTTGGTGGGGAGGCCCAGCCCCTGGACAGCCGTTGGCAGGACTGCGTCGGTGGTGCCAGCTGTACCACCTCAGCTGTCCAATGGAGGTAAGAGGGTGGGGAACAAGACAGGGGGGTCAGGAAACAGGCAGCATTGAGGTTTGGAGGAAAGAGCAGGTTCTGAAGTCTTTCATTCAGAAAACAGGAATTAAGAGGTAATAGAGTTTTCCCACAAACATTTTGAAGCCCCCTACTATATGTCAGGCAGACTCTGGCACCCACCTGCCTGGGCTGAATCCTGGCCTCTCCACCTCTTGACTGTGTGATGTTAACAAGTCACATCATCCATCTGTGCCACTGAATCCCAGGGTGGCACAAATAGTTAAGCATCACTTATTAGTTGAAAGATGGGCAGTTTGAACCCGCCCTCAGATGTCTTAAGCCATGGTGTGATGCTGTAGGGTTAAGCACTAGTCTGCTAACTGCAAGGTCAGCAGCTCAAACCTACCAGCCACTCTCAGAAACCCTATACAGGGTCGCTGTGTATCAGAATCAAATGGATGACTCACAACAACAACAGAGATGCATTGGAGAGGCATGGTGATCTGCTTTTGAGGACTCAGTCATTGAAAATCCTGTGGAGCGCAGTTCTGTTCTGACACACAAAGGTTGCTGTGAGTCAGAATTGACTCATAGACAATCAACAACTAACACAGAGGTTACTATGAAGATGAAATGAGTTCATATATATGTAGTACATAGCCCAGAATCTGTCATGTAGAAAGTGCTGAATGTGTTACTTGCTGTAATTATTTTCTGAGTCTCACTCTGGGGAGGTGAAGAGACAAAGTTTTAACCCACATAAGGGATCATAAAAATATATGTCAGGTAGACACACCCCCACATTGTAAAAGAATAAAACATGGTGTGGAGGCGTAACTTTTTATGGGGTGTCTGGGATGGCTGCTCTCAGGAGGTGGTGAGGTGACACTTCAGCTGAGGCATGAAGGACAGGATGAAGCTGGTTGGAGAGGTGGAGTTCACAGAGCAAAGAAAACAGTAAGTGCAAAGGCCCCGAGGCAGGAGCAAGCTTGGTGAATTGAAGGAGTTAAAAATGGTTTTCTTCTTTCTTGGGCTCTCTCAAGACAAGCCACTTCCTCTCTTCAGGCCTCAATTTTCTCTTCTATGAAAAGACATTCAGCCATGTATTTGGCACATCTTCCACAAAACAAATCTTTCATAAATGGCTGTTCCTTTATCTTATGCTTGGTCTAAACTGACCCTGTGTCATGGTAACGGGGCTTTCCAGTCATGTCTCCCTGCCGCTTCCATGGAAAGTCTCAGCTGTCAAGTCCGGTGGAATCAACAAAGGGTGGCAGCACAGAGACATGGGACGGAGGGATGGGCTCATTGTCTGGCAAGGTACCAGCTGGGACAGTGAAGCCCTGGGATACTCAAGGTTACAGGCACCCAGGATGGCAGCTGAGCCCTCCAAATGCCCCAGGTGCCTGACTGATTGTCCATGTCCCAAAGGAGGCTAGGGCAGCCCTGTCCATTCATCACCATGGAAACCATCTAGGGGACAGCGTTGTTGCTGAGTGCCATCAAGTTGGTTCCAACTCATAATGACCCTGTATAAGGTTTCTGAGGAGTGGCTGGTGAGTTTGAACTGCTGATTTTTGGATAGTAGTCCAGTGCTTTTCCAACACCACACCAAGACTCCATGGTGGTGGTGATTGATGGTTGTGTGCCGTGGAGTCGGTTCCAACTCAGTGACCCTGTATAGGGTTTCCGAGGCTATAAATCTTTATGGAAGCAGAAAGCCTCATCTTTCTTCTACAGAACAGCTGGTAGTTTTGAACTGCTAACCTTGAGGTTAGCAGCCCAACTCCTAACCACTGCGCTACGAGAGCTCCTTAAGACTTCATAGGAAATACCATTACAGGAGGCCAGGAAGAAGCTGTTCATTACATGTGTGAGAGTGTTCATGAAATTGCATACAACATGCTTCTTCATTATAATTAGTTGTGGTTACATGCTATCGACATGGTTCCAACTCATAGTGATCCTATGTAGGGTTTCCAAGGAGTAGCTGGTAGGTTTGAACTTCCGACCTTGCAGTTAAGCAGTCCAGTGCTTTTCTTACAGTACCTGTTAAATTCACATACCTTCCTAATACACACCCCAGGAGAATACACAGACTCCTCTCAGCTACTGCTCCATATTGTTGTTGTTAAGTGCCATGGAGTGGGTTCAGACTCATAGTGACCCTATATAAGGTTTCCAAAGAGTGACTGCTGAGCTTGAACCACCAACCTTGCGGTTCAAACCAACCTTGCAGTCCAATGTATTAACCCACAGTGCCACATCAAGACTCTGACTTCTCCATATTGTTGTTGTTGTGAAGTGCTGTCTAGGTTCCGACCCATAGCGATCCTGTATAGGGTTTCTGAGGAGCAGCTGGTAAGCTTGAATCACCGACCTTGCAGTTCAAACAGCTTTGCAGTCTGGTGCATTAACCCACAGTGCCACACCAGAACTCCATACAGGAGAACCAAAATCATGTCATGTTTCCTAAAAAGGACATGTGACCAGATAAGAAAAGATTGTCTCTAGGTGGGAGGAGTTGCTCAACAAATACAATTTAGATGACAAAATGTCCAACATTTTGTGGCAAGATTTCTTCTCATGGGCTTTGGATGTATCAGGAGGGACCAGTCCCTCGAAGTATATCGCGCTTAAGGTCAGGGTCAGTGAAAAAGAGGAAGACGAGATGGATTGACGCAGTGCCTGGGACCATGGGCTCAAACATACCAAAGATTGTGAGGGTCCAGCAATGTAACCATCTGTTGTACATGAGCTCACTATGAGTCGGAACCGACTTGATGGCACTTAACAACATTAGGATGGTAAGCATGACATCCCAGGCATGTGTTAACAGACACCAGGCACCTCAGAAGAGGGCCTCCAAAGAGTCAGCCATTTTGTCTGCTGACTGAGTGGACTCAAGCCTATGGTGAGGCATCTTGAGTGAGGTAAGTTCTGGGTGTGTGGCTTGGCCCTGAGCTGGTGTGACCCCAGAGTACAGTCCTCTGACAGCTGTTATCTGATGCCTCGTCCAGTGTTGTACTTTCAGGAACCCACAGGTGTTCTTTAGCTCTTTCACCTGTGAAAGTCCCCATCTTTCTTTTGCTTCTTCCCCACTAGATATATGCCCGACATCACCCCTTCACACTGCCCC